CATATAAAAGCTCGTAGATTTACTTTGAAATCCGTCCTGTTTGTGTTGTCAAATGCCAGCAGGTAGCCGGAGAATGTTTGCTCCTCACAGATTACAGATAAAGACGTAAGAATGAGTGGCTTCAGCATCATTTACAACGAATATGTTTTACAGAAATTTGCACACACTTGCTCCATTGCAATCCTCCCACCATTCATGAATATTTATGAGCATTTATGCAGCCTTTGGGTACTTATTACAGTAGTAAGGAGAGCAAGCTGTGCTTTCTTCCTTCAGGGTCTGAATGAATTTGGCATTGCTGCTAACCGACTCGGGGGATTTAAGACGGCACCAAGTGCAGTTTTTTGTGTTTTGACGGAAAACTATTTTCCACTTTGGGAAGCTTAAAAGTAGCTCTAAATAATGCCATTAAATCTGTAGTTAATCTTTATTTAATTTATGTATTCCCAAATTAAAATGGACATATTATGCAGAATCTATGTTTTTGAACATAAGCACATCCGTCCAGTGTGTCGAGAGATTCACAGACTATGAGAAAAGGCCTTCTCCTCGGTTTAGTTCCATTGAGGTAAAAGAACAATCCATTTACTACAGTTAGTTGAGTTTCCCATCGACTAACTCGTCATTCAGAAATGTCCTGGTGGTCAAATTCTGTTTCAAACATGTACGAGCTGTGCGTTATCAGCGGCCATATTAGCACTCCAGCCTCGAGTATAAACGACATTAGCTTGGAAGAGTTGAGGCCAGCAGCAGCAGCTCAGTTTCATTTGAACCTACAGACGAAAATCAAAAAGTGCCTATAAACTGAGACTGAGCCGATAAAAATCAAAAAGTGGTCTAAATCTATCTCCCAAAGTGGTTTCCTGACACTCTGCTCGCAGTGCTTCTGCCGCACTTGTGACGCTGAAGTTCTGTTCTGTAAGCGCATAAAGCACCTCATGCAACCAACACTTCATCTCCTCCACTGTCAAACTCTTCAACTTGAATTTCATTTTGGGGAATTCATGAGGAACCAAATATGGTGAATAGAGCAGGTTGAGAGTGATAATGAAGTCGGTTGCTCCTAATGTTCCCTCAGACACCTCAGGATGTTCAAGTACAACTTTGATGGTTTGACCCTGATGGGACGAATTCACGCACAACCACACGACGCTCCTGACTGCGTCCGGTTTGAAGACTGCAGGATAAGCTACTTGAAATCTGCTGTTGTTCCTCTCAGTAGTAGCTGCAGACCCGCCTCTCATCACTGTAATGTGATGATCGTCCACATAAAGACTCTTTTCTCTACTTTAGTTAGTGGTGAACTCACAAAAGCCTCTACCAGTGATCACAAAAACACATGTGTGAGGTAGACGTCACACATGTTGCACGCCATTTTCTGATCTGACAATTACGGTAAAACAATTTCACAATTTACAGTTTCACTTAGCAGACGCTCTTATCCAAAGCGACGTACATTTTTGAGAGTAGCTCACATTCATACACCAATGGCGACAGAGCTGCCATGAAAGGTGCCAGCCTGCCATTGGGAGCAACTTTTTTGGGTTCAGTGTTTTGCCCCTTCGACTGTGGAGGGGCAGGGGATCAAACCACCAACCCGCTCTACCACCTGAGCCAAAGCCAGCCTACGAACGAACGTGTTTTGGGATGAAACTTGGAAGTCTGTTGACATGGCAATCAGAGAATTTCTATCCAATTCTTTATTACTCGTGCTCAGCGCTTAAATACGTCTCTTGTGACACATGAACCTTGTGGCACCCTGAGGACATCTGGGGCAGGGTTACTGGCCATCCCAAGAGTTAGAACAAAACATGAAGCAGCACAGACATGGAATAACCTCCCAGCTGATGTGAGACGAGCAACATCTCCGACAGCTTCTAACTCCAAGCTGAAATTTCTTTCTTACACTCCCTACTCTACCCTCGTTCGATCAATCCATCCCATCTCTGCACTTTTGCCATCTTTAATTGTTCGATATCGTTGTTGTAACCGTGTTTGCCCGACAGGTTTTGGAGCAACACCCTGACGGACGCTGGAAGGGCTGTATCCACGACAACCGAACAGGAAACGACCGGGTGGGCTACTTTCCGTCCACCATGGTAGAAGTCATCAGCAAGCGCACAGGTGTGTTGGCCCGGCTACGTATGTGAGCGTGTGACGGAGTTACTGTTGAAATTTGTTGACCGAGCTGACTGGTAAAAAAAAAAGTGTCAGCGAATCAGAGACTTATTTGGAATAAAAGAAGAGCTTGGAGAAAGATAGAAGAAGAAGAACTCACTGACCAAAAATCTAGGATAAAAACGGCAGTGGTGTCAGCTAGCTTTATATTTAACGGGCACATGTGAGAGCGCTACTGAACCTACTAACCCACAGCATGAACGATAATGAGTCTTTTTCCCAAAATAATATCAAGCTATAGCTTATCATGTGAACTTTCATTAATGAATAGGCATGCTGACCGCTCACTCTGCTCATTACTTTACCGCCTACCTCCATCTTTTATCAACACAATGAGCTTTTAATGTCCTGGGTGAGACCTGCAGATCCATCCTGTCATTAAAGAGCCTCAGATGTTTTAAACTGTCTATTGGCGTCGGACTGGTAGCTCTGTCTGTCCATCTGTCTGTCTCTCTCCGTAGTACAATATATGTTTTCTGTCTGTATGCCTGTCTCTCTGTGTGATCACTCATTTTCACCCACCTTCGACATCCACATCTCGTCTCATCTGCTCATTCCTCCGATTACTTTCACATGCCGTGTAGTTCACTCGCCACGACGGAAACCCGCTCCATCGTTCTGCTGTGGCTTTATCTGTCTTTCACATACAGTGCGTTATATAGCAGCGTTGTAACTGTACACGGCAGCTGTGTACAGTACAGAAAACAGCTGGAGCGCTCCCACTTGGCTTATCATAGCCACACTGACTAATCACTGCCAGGGCACATCCGCACATTCAGACGTACACTTGGGGGCTACGGCAGCTGTTCTAGCGAGAAGTTTCATTTACTCAGCTGTTTTTCATCAATTTTTAATTATTCTTTTCTCCTAGAATTCCTCCCCAGTCAGTCCCTTCTGCATGTAGTGTGGAATAACTTTCAGGGGAGCAAAAAGAACAGCGAGCGGAGGGTTTAAAGAACCCACGTTATGCTCGTTTACAAGTTTCTAATTTGGTTTTTGGGGTGTTTACATGCTTTAATGTTCAAAGATCTGATTATGTTTGGAGTTCTGGTTCTGTTTTAACCGCTCGGGTTTAGCTAGTGAGTCTTTAAGGTTCCGGTTATTGGGGAATAATTGTAAAAAGCTGCTCATTCTATGTTTGAGGGCATGACCAAACTAACCATTAGGTCGGCATTGTCTGCCCTTTCAGACACAAGCTCCTTTTCGTTAATATGATTGTCAGCTTCATGTCTGAATGGTCACCTTCCTGTAAAAGTCCCAACGGCAATCTTACTAGGTCAGACCTAGTAGCATTCCCGTATCACTGTGAACAGTCTGAATCTCACCCAGCCACATTAATGGGCACGCACAAGCAAACTGCATTTAGTTTGCATTAATAAGTTAAATTCTAAATGATCCCTGAGATATATAGAACAATCAGGTTCTCACAGCAAGTCATATGGTTCTTTTACTGTTGGTAAAGTCGTATTCAGATCATCTACATCTATTGTATACATGTGTGTTAAGGAAGTCATAAATAAACCAGGCTGTCAGTGATTTCAAATTGCGGTAGGTATTGTCTAATTACGCCTGAGTGACAAAAATTGCGTGCATACCGTGGCTCTCTTCAGCACTGTGGTGTTTGAATGAATTACGGGAAAATTCCCCATGTCTGAATGACAGAACGCCGTCACTTTGACAGATTCATGAAGCCAGTCATGCTACATATTACATTTGTGAAAAGGGCTACTGTGAGCTAAATAGGTAACAGAAAAAAGCCTGGACTTCGATAGAATAACCCCCTTTAGCGTGTACTTAGAGCTTTGTACGTTTGCATGAATAAAATGGAACACACTAGAAGAAAGGGAAAACACAAAAAGCATCATGTGGGCTCTTCAACGTGTCGACTATTAAGATGATGACCAAGAAAAGACAAGAAATCAAACCCTTTCCAAAATGTACATATTCACTGGGCAACATAAGATAAACAACTTCTTATATGTAGAACATGTCATCTTTATTTTTATGTAATCTTTTTCGAGCTTGGCTATAAACCTTTAGTGTGACAGCAATTATCTGCCTGTAAATGTTCATTTTGAACTGATGCTAGTATTATACAACTTTAATCAGCCAATACAGATGATTATGATGATGACAATGTCTCTTTGTTGGCATGCAACAGTAAAGCTCCCATGTAATATGTAATATGCTTGCCAACTAGTTTGCACCTATACAATTCTAAACATTCACTCATTACACTTAAATTTTAACAAGTCACAAAATGTTAGCTTGTGCGCACAAAAAGACATATTGATATAACTTCCTACGCTCGTGTGGAGGCGTGTCTCCACCAGCAGCATTTGGTGAGAAAAGAGTCTCATGAGCCAAATAACCTGCTAATTATGTAACAGTGAAATCACATAAGTGTACAAACATTACAAGGGATGCCCTGATCAGGCTTTTTTTTTGCCCCTTATCTGATTCTCGTCATTTAATATTTAGTATCTGCTGATGGTGATCTGATACCATTTTCCTAGAAGCACATGTCAAGTACATTTAAGTGAATGAAATCAAGCCCTGCAGTGAGAAAAAAAAATGCATTTCTGCATCCAAACAGTTCTTTCGTAAAGCTCTGTTAAGGCACTATCTAAAATAATTAATTAAGAGGTGTACTGTGGATCCGAAAGCCCCAAAACACAGCAAAAACCTGTGTTCTTTGCATGCATGTCAGAAAATGTATTGCATATTAGCTGCATGTTTAATACTGTACCAACCCCAGGAGGCGGTACCTCGGCTACAGGCAGTTCTGTGTTGGCAAGTAGAGAGCATTGTGGTGGTTTAGCCAGCAATGGACACCATGACCCAATGGCCTCCAACCAAGGTTCATGTATTTAAAACAAGCTGGGACCAACACTACTATATGCCAATAACGCAGCTGACTTTGTGGTCCATATAATGCATCTGTTGGCTAAAACAACAATGTCAGCACAGGATTTGTATTTATTGTGGTAAATCTGTGGTGTTAATTATTTGATTAGGAAATGAATTCATTCCTAATGTCCTCCCACAAAACGCCCT